TCCAATACTGAAACCAATATTAAATATAATCCTATATCGACTAGCGAAATAGGCATGAAAAATCCTAGAGGAAGAACGGATAGGATTTTAGGCTGTGCTGCCTAGATAGAAGAGGCCTGCTATCCACTATCTTGGGCTATGCTGCGCCACCAAGTGGCAGAGCTTGAAGGGCATCGCATTCTATAGGACATGAAGCATGCGAAGATACACACCTCCACTGTCAGGAACATCACAACTCGTACAATATGTACTGATTCCTCACTTCATAACATGCGAGACCGGGTTGTGCCGTGTACTTCAGCAACGTGCGCGACTGCGTGCGTTAAACCGCTCAAATGTCAATTGAAATGCACGATGCTGATTTGCAGTAGCAGCAGTTTGATGAACATTTACGAAGTTGGTTGTCATGAAGTGAGGGGTAAAGATCCCCTTCCAGAAATCTGACATTCAAGCAAAAGCATATCGCGCGCCAGCTAATGGCCTGAAGCCTGCGCAAATGCCTGCATTGGTAAAAAAAAAAAAAAAAAAAAAAAAACAGCACCACGAATTCATTTTTGTGTGACATGGATTCACGTGGACGGATAGCTGTTGGGGGAGGTACCAACAGCAATATTTTCTTTGATCGTTTTACTACGGAAACCCTCCTGAAGCGACGTGATCGTAGTCCACGCAGCTTCATTTTTCATTTTAAAGCGTTACACAGTTGAATCAAGTGGATTGTCGTTGAAATGTAGGCTGTGTATGGCACTTTGTATGCTATCGTAGGGAATTCGGCGACCAAATCGCTGATATTATCAGTGGCACACAGCTTTTGTCTTGCGATTTGTATGCAAAATCATTTTAGTGATGTGGACGGTGTTTCGTAGCCAGACAATCGCACTGTAAAGGATTGGCCGAAAACACTCGCACAAAAGCACCCAATCCAGACACGCTCCAAGACAGCAAGCACCTCGGCTTCTCTGGTCGCGACGACCAGCAGCAGTGGCTCGGCGGCGTTGGCCCGACGACCAGCAGCAGAGGCTTGGCTGGTGCTGATGTAGTAGTTGGTTGTCGCGAGATTACTGTCCAAGACATTCGCAATGCGTGCGTTTCGTCGAAGACGTACAGAGCATACAAAGGAAGTTTGGCCTCAATTTCAAAATGGATTCGGGCTTCGAAAGGCGAGAGCGGATCGCAGTACTTTACTGCTGATGGAGAGATTGATGTTGGAGTGTTTACGGCGCGTGATTTTGAGTCCTTCCTGTTGGAGAAGAGGAAGACGGTTAGTGTGGCAACTTTGAGTGGATATCGGAGTGCGATAAAGGATCTTTATCGTCGTCGGGAAGTCCCTCTACCTATTGAGAAGAGCATGGCAACCTTCTTCTCAGGGCTGAAGCGCATGGAAGCAACGCGCCTTCAGTCGGGGTCTCCGAAGGAGTCAGGCAAGGACCCACTGCCGTTCTCGTTGTATCGAGAGCTGTGTAAAGCTACAATAACCCGTGATGATGGTGGATTTGCGCACATGTTTCTCACAACGCAATGGAATCTAATGTGTCGATCTGAGTCAGTGCAGAGGCTGTGCACTGAGCATCTAAGCTGGCATGACGACAGCATCGGGTGCATTATGCACAAGTCTAAAACCAACCAAGAGGGTACTGGACCTAAGGACCCACGACACATGTACGGAAATGTATTTAGCCCTGATACATGCTGGATTACGGCTTTGGCGTTGTATCTGGCATGCCGGCCTACACAAGCGCCAGGGCCTCTCTTTCCTGGTTCAGAGCAGAAGGCAAGATTCGGTAGCGCCCTTCGCAAGCTTATTGCTGATCAAAAACACCGGAACCACTATGAAACCCATTCCATTCGTAACGGTGTTGCAACGTTTGCTTGCAGTGGTTGTACGGGTGGTCCCTCAATTGCCAGTGTGTGTCTGCGGGTCGGATGGTCGTTGGGTGGAGTGCAGGATCGTTACATCAGATATGAAACTGCGGGAGACCAATTCCTTGGTCGCGTAGTAGCTGGTCTACCGCTCAATCGACCTCAGTTTGCCTCACTCCCACCCCACTTCAAAGACAATGATGATCCTGCTGTTGGTGCATGCGTACAGGCAATGTATCCAGAACTACAAAAAGTTAGTGGACTTCGTGATATACTGAAGCTCTGTGTAGCATCACTGGTAAAGCACTCGAGTTACTTCCGAGCGGAGCTGCCATCGACACCCCCCCCCCCCCCTATTGACAACACCTCTATTTCGGAACAAGGAAATGATGGCCAATCTCTCAGCCAATATGGTCACCTGTGAGTCACCATGGATGACCCCCACTGGAATTCCACCGCTTGTGGAGTTGTACAAACAACTGGAGGGAGTGCAGCAGTCAATTGACAACCTTCCTCCAGTCCTTTTAGATGGAATGAGCACATTCATCGAGAAAAAAGGGGTTGCTGCAGGAAACATCACCCGAGACTTACTGGAAGCAACTATAGAGAGCCTACTAGAACGTGCTGGGTTGGCCCACGTGCGCCATACTGTGCCCAGCGCACAAGTACCAGGAGACACAACTACTGCAGCGCACTATTATGGGGGCAAGTTTCACATGCTTCCTGAAAGTTTTGAGTTTCCCAAGGTTGGAGCGCATGCTGCATGGCACCTTTGGTGGTTTGGTGATCAAGCAAGAGGATATCCACCACTGCGCCGTATTGGCGCGCACGACCTACCTCGTGACTCGATGCGCAAAACATATTCGAACTGGAGAAACTTGATGCAACGTATTTGCGAGGCGGCCTTGCAGGGTGGGTGCCAAATCACAGTCGACATGTCAGAACAAGTAGCAGAAAAGTGTTTAGAGTAGGTATGCAGAACTTACCGCTTCTCGCTTCGACTCGAAAGCGCAGAGTATCAGAGTTATCTCTCGGAACAACACTACGACTCGCTCGGCAAGCTGCCCAAAAGCGATCTCGCAGCGCTCCTGTCTAATTGGATGAAATTGTATAAACCAATTGAAAATGCACCTACGTCGGATGCCAAAACTCCTACGTTTTTCCTAGATAAGTGATTACCTGGTCTTTGTATTGTCGAGTCTCCGATCATACTCGTTGCTTTCACTTGATTGCGCGTTTTTTTGCATCGCAGCAAGAGGATCGTCATTACACGTCAGCCCTCACTTTTCTAGGTGCTATATACGCTCGTGTCTTGGGAAGTCGAATGATAGTGCGCTATGCGCTTGGAGATGCGGGTGGAACTCAGTACAATGCCAAGATATCCGTGTTTGAGGATTGCGAGTTGGATGTCTTGATGTACTTTTATCACGTTATCGCCAAGGTTCATGAACGATCTCGCTATATTCAACCTGTCAAACGTAATCTGGTAGTAGCTGACATATTCGATATGCATTGTGCTATAAGTGCCTCGGAATTCCATGCTAATAAGCCTTCTGATATGCGGCGGTGGCTTGTAGATCTGAAAATTAAGCAGTGGGTCGTTGCCTCCATCACCAGTGGCTGAATGACATTGTTTCCGCACACCAATCGGCTGGGCAACTACAATTAATTCAGTGGAAATGCTCAGCACCAAGTTAAAATATACCTCCACGCTGAGAGAGCGCATGCTTATGAGATCCCTGTTGGGCAAACTGCAACTTCGTTGCCGATGGAAAGTGTGTCGTCTGTTCGGTTTCAAGAGAAAGCCAAACCTAGAAACAGACTTCGATGACGTGCTACAACATTTTGTCCACAAAACTTCCTTGTCGAGAACTCGTCTATCGATGCCTTCGACGACTATGCAAAGACAGCATCTTGAATCTACGTAAGGCCAAAACAAACTGTGGCCGTTGTGGACGTTGCTGTGCAGCTCGGTGTGAACGCCGCCAGAATGGAGCGTGACGAACAGACCAAAAAAAAGGCTGGCCAGTTGATTTGACAGATCGGAGCTGCTCATGCAAATACCCTTTGTATGTGCGCTTCAGTGCAGACCAGTAGGGATAGTGGGTGTTGAGTCAGTGCACATAAGAAAAACCTTGGAGGATCAGATATCGGACGCTGTTGCATCAAGTGGGCCAAAATGAGGGAGACATATTCTTAACGGTCCTACATTAGGGGCTTGTATAGCAATCCGCACTAGCGTTTGTATAGCAATACGCTGTGTGAGTTCGTCGTTATGTGTCACTAGACTAGAGACAAGTAGGTGACGCTTTTCGCTCGGATAAGCCTGCATTCGGTAGACTTGCGCATGAAGACACCCGCTTTGAAGGGCTGAATCCTTCAATGTACCAACAGGAGCACAGGGCAGACAAGCTACAAAAAATATGGGGAGATATAGTCTGAGACAACCGGAAGTGTTTTGCCAACTCGCAGCAATCGGGTACGGTAATGCTAAATATTTTTTTAACTTGTTCTTCATATACTTTTTCGCGGTGTATAAACACTATTCTAACATCTTCTATTATGTATAGGGACAAACGAAAGTGATTTTTTCTCTTCTGCAAAGGTGACCTCACAGTACTGTACCTTCATTATTGGCTTGCGATCAAGCCTGTACTACACGAAATGGTTGTGCCATTCCCTGAGTCAGCTTCATACGATTCTCTGGCACCCTCCGTCACAGACCCAAGTATATTCAACAAACTATTTGACAACCATTGAGAAAGATGCCGCTCAAACCCCTTCAAAAGGAAAACGTAAAGCGGTTTCAACTTCAAAAAGCGATGAAACGTTATCTAAAATTTCTAAGACACTCCACAACTACTTCTTGGAGAGGACCCATGAGAAAAAGGAATCGTGTCTCCGGCAACAAGGAGAACTACTTAGACAGATGGCTGAGGTTATTAAAATGCTGTCGCTTCTTAAACAAGAGCCGGATGAGAACGAAGAAGACATCATATTCTATGAAGCTCAAAAGGTGCGCATTCGCAGCCAACTGCTTACATTTGAGGAGACGCTGCCAGTTAGGAAAAAAATAAAGTAGACGTAGCATTCATATTCCTTTGTTTAGTTAAGTGGACGACGCAGTCCTTGATTCTGAATGTGATTCCGCAGTTCCGTTCGAAGCATGTTGTCTCTGCAGTGGTCGTCACTTGCTCGATTGTCTACAATTACTTCGGTACTGGGTTCGTACAAACTTAATTCCTCGTGATCCGTATCAAGTCGCTCGTCTATACAAAAATTATGCAATAGCATACTCACCGTTATTACCTTCTTAACATTTTTTAACTTCACTTGCAGCGGACGCCGAAATATCTGGAACTTGTTGACCAACAATCCAAAGGCCATTTCGATACGAATACGCAGTTGCGATACATAAAAGTTGTAGGCATCATGGCTTCGACTCTCAATTTGGTTTCTTGTAAACAGCGTGAGTAGAAACGATGTGTTGATATACGCGTTGTCACCTACAGCAAAATAGCCAAGAAGTAGCCGCTATAGGCTGCCACGTAATTTCCAAGAGAGATATGCCGTGGCGTCATTCGCTCCCCCAGCGTTGCTCACATTTGCTGCAATAAAGCGGGAATTTGCATCACAGGCTGCCTGTACATTTACACCAATTCGACTGTAATGACCCGAATAAAATGCCCGAAGATTGGAAGCTTCGTTTTCACTCGGGTTTTTTTTATCGAGCACAGCCACCTGTATATAAGAAAGAACTTGTCAAAAACAGTCTGAAAATTAGTATTTAAAAAACGGCGTACCCGTCAATTGCAGCCACACAGCCTTTAATGATTCCTTGAGAAGATATTCGCTCAAATGCCATTGCTGCAGATGACAGTTCTTCAGTAGACTCCGGAAACTGTAGACGAAGTTGGGGGACACAAAGTAGAGCGTCCATCACTTTGTGAACTATATGATTGAAGTGTGAGTCGGAGGACTTTACCACTTCCCTAACGTCATGGTGGCTACCCCCAGCCAGCCACCGAATCGCCATTTGTAGCATGTGAGCAGGTGAGAGTGGCTCCACACCCGTCCTTCGCTTCGATTGATTCCGGTCGGGGACCCACAGATAGGACCCTAATAGCAGTAGCAATCTCTCGAATGAGCGCTTTCGCATGCGAGAGCAGCGCTCAAACTGCCCCTCTAGGAGAAGGCGGGACGCATACATGTCCCAGTCAGGCTTCTCGTCACGGTGAACAACTGGTCCGCGAGGCTTCGGTAATGTTTTGGCTGTCGCTATTACCGCCATAACAGAGAGCATTAGGACTGCTTCGTCGTCGTCTTGGCTTGCCATGCTGGTTGAAAACTTACCACTGAACTGACAATTGAAAGGGATGGATCTAATTAGTCAATAAACACGTCTTTTTGAAGAGACTTTTCCTTGTGTCGGTTGGTATTGCGATCATCTTCGGTGCTCGCAAGTAAATTTCATGCGGATTTTTGCAATCTTTCGTCCTTATGCAAGCGTTAATCTCTTAAACGGCTATGAGCACTCCTTTGAAAAAAAGATGGCACTTCTACTGCTCTATCTCGCCTCTTCGGGAACGATCAAGGAGGCAGGAATGGCTTTAGGTATCTCGAAGCCATGTGCAGTGATATCGATTAACGCCCTACTCCGAATTGTTTGCAAGCAGTCTGGCCAGTTCATCAAGTTACCGTCTAGTCAATCTGAATGGGATAACATTATGGACGACTTTGCGTCGGTCAAGGGATTTCAGTACGTGTGCGGGGCTGTTGATGGATCGCTTTTCGAAATACCTCGACCTGAAGAGTATGAAGGATGGTACTGTAAGGATGGATATCCAGCGATAAGTATGCAAGCACTTTGCGTTTCCTAGACTATGACATGAGACCAGGTTCGTATAGCGACAAAAAAAAACTTGGAACGTATCGGATCTAGGTTGTCAGCAAGTGCCTACATGTATATCCATTGACAATAAATTAGATTACGACGCCGACTTAACCCATTAATATACAATATCTGACTCGATTGACTCTCCCGTCGTTTGCTTACGCTTGCTGGTTCGCGTGCTGCTAGTCTCCCCTTCGGCTCTACTGCTGTCGCCCTCATCCGAGTGCGTTGTCCCTGCGTCGCAGAGCGCCGTATTCTGCATCCCTTCACGAGGAGCCCAGTGCTCCATCATTAATTCGAGACAAGGAGGATCTTGTGCTCTTGGCACATTACCCGTCTCGGAGCGGCCTTCTCGATACAAAGCCCACTTGCAGCGCAGCCACTTAATCTAATACAAGCACAAACAAAAACATATTACTACAATATTAAGTTGTCACCAAGCAACTAAATGCTAGTCACCTTCTCTTTACACTGCGAGACAGTGTATGTTCTGCTTTGGCTTTTGCTCAGTATATTGGCCACCAGAATCCAAGCTGCACCTATCTCGACCGAGTTTCTAGCCTTGTGGAAGTTTGGCTTTGCAGCTGTTCCATCAGTATTCGTTAGACTGTTTAAGTTATTTAGCTGCAAATTCAAATGTCTTACCGAATGGTGGACAGCTCTTGCATTGCTGCATCTGTCCAAAGAGGCGTGGCATCTTTTGCCGGGCGGCCACGTTTAGGTGGCGCCGGACGCAGACCGAGTGGAAGCGGTGTCTGGGCGGAGGGGTCAGAAGCCCACACGTTCATGATGCGATCAGACGACTCTGGTGCAAACGTCCGGGTGGATTGAGGGCGAGTCTCGGGTCTAGAGCCTGCAGCGCCCTGTGGGAATGAGAAAGACTGAGTTAACGGGATCGCATACTCCTCTAGCGATGACGCCGGTGACAGAAGGTCGTCCGTGACAGCCTTCAAAAAGGGAAATGAACACTTACACAACGGGTAGCACACGCAAGACCGCCTATATGGTTGGCCTGCAGCTCTTGAGCGCTTCGGTCATGTTGCCGAGAATGATTGGCGGCGGCAACGGTGTGCCTACGCCAGCAGTACTTCAGCTCCGTGTTCGCTTCTCTCGAGTGGCCACAAGATTGGCTGCGAGGGCTGCAAAAATCGATTTGACAGGGTATGCGCTTGAAGAGAGTATCCCCGGACATCGAGGGCAACCACTGCGGATAGGGCACAGAAATCCAGCCCCAGACGGACGAACCAGGGCCTTATTATCTTTTCGTCTTCCAGAGCCCAAACCCTCAAGAGACCAATTATCTCTTCGTCTCCCAGAGCCCAAACCCTCTAGATACCAATCGACCAATCAGAGCGCCCAAAGCGTCTCGTACCTTCGGTTAAGAACCAGCCTCAGTCATCACGCCTACAATTTGTAGATGAAGCATCGACAAGTATGACACGGAGCTATACTCTCAGCAGCTACATCAACCCCCAAACACTAACTTTGCTAGTTGGGAGTACCTAGTATATTTGCCAATAATATAATATGTTTGACAGTCCGGATCCCTTAAGCTGTCAGTCTCGATCGCTTATGTCGATAGTCTGGATCGCTTTCACCGACAGTCTGGACGAATGCATTGAACAAATTACAAGAAAAAATTAAATTGAAATTGAAAGTGTACTACCAACTATATTTTTCCTTACGATGTGGGTCCTACTCGCTTTCGCTCTCGTCCTCGCTCTCTTCTTCACTCGCCTCACTCTCTTCTTCACTCGTTTCCTCGTTCTCCTCCTCGCTTGAAGCCTCGACACTCGCGTCACTCAGGGTCTCCGCTTTACTTAGCCTGGTGCTCGCCATTCACTTCAGCGCTAACCGCATCCTTCTTGTAGTCGTAGGAAAGAGCCTCTTCATTGCTTAAGCGCTTGGGATGGCGGGTTGGTTATGTTTTGCATCTTAAAAGACCGGCCACACTCTTTGCAGTGCCCGGGCATCTGCTTTTGCGCGAATTGCCTTTGTCTTCGCTCTATCCGAATTATCAGAGCAGTACCGACCTTGGTTGCTGAGATGGCGTCGCTGCGAGCATAGCAAACCACAATGCTCACACATATAGCTCTTAAACACGATTGCTTCGATAGAGTTTGGCTTTTGACTTATTCCTCGAAAACACACGAAACAGTGCAGTCTTATATTTTCCTCTTCAAATTCAGCACCAGCGTGACACGAAGAGATATATCTGGAACGCGTTGAAGTCACTTTCTGGCGGGTTACGGCAAAGAACTCATGTTGACTTTCCCTCGTTTGAGACTAGAAGGTTACGTTGACGAAAGGCATATTGCAAGCTTCTGTGATCATTGCTCTTGAGTCGAACACGCAGTTTTACGTCTACCCGACTTGTTTCGGCTCCTATGCTGATGTGGATAAATGTAAGCTGTTACACTCCGCGACAAGATATATCACCCACTCGTATTTTAGTCCGTAACTCGCTGAGTTTTACGAGTTATCTGTTGAGATTTCGACAGGCTGCTTTTCCTAGTTATAGACGACCGAGGTTTGTGCTAACGCCTGCGATTTCGCAGAGCGAGGGGAAGCTCACATACAGTTTTCTTTCGGCAACGTCGCGACAGGTTAGATCACCCAGCCATAGCATACAAAATTCAAGTCAAAAAGAATGATGGTCACTTCAATAGTGTGTCTTGTTACCGTTTTTAGCTAGGACTTCCACGCATCTGCGTGGCATCGACTCAACCAGAGACACTAGCAGAGCTTGAGGAATGTTATCCCACGCGTCAAACAGCGCTACCTTTAAATCTTGCACGCTGTCAAATTGTCTGCCATTCGCATACACCCTTCTACTTAGAATTGACCACAAGTTCTTAATCGGATTGAGATCCGGAGACTTGGAGGACCAATTTAGCACTTGAATTTCTTGCTCAGAATAAAACTCCATCGTTCGCTTAGACACGTGAATACTAGCGTTGTCCTGTTGGTAGATAAAATCCATACCATAGTCCTTAAGTGTGAGCGGCAGCGTGTTTACCATCTTGGTGTACACCAACCGGTCCACCTTAGCTAAGGTGGGCTGGATGGTGCGCACCGAGACGGGAAAGTTGAGGTCGGCCTTGAGCTGTGCGGCCGAGGAATCGCCTCTGGAGGCGGCGCGGACGAGACGACGGGTGTCCCGGTCCGACAATGCTGGTGGTGACCCCGGACGGGCGGGGTCGGCGCGAGGCTGGGCGGGCGCGGTGATTCGCCGGACCGTGTGGGTGCAGCGTCCTGTCTTCTGGGCAACGACACGAGTGCTGAGCCCGCCTTCTCTCAGCTCCTCGATTCTGCCTTTCTCGTGCTGTGACAGCCGAGGCTTTTTGGACTTCCTAGTGGTCTTGATGATTTCAAATACTGGAGTGGATTCCTGCTCTCACAGAGCACAAGTTTCCAGGTCCACTACACTCTTCGCACCACCCATTTGTTAGTTTTGACCATCATTCTTTTTGACTTGAATTTTGTATGCTATGGCTGGGTGATCTAACCTGTCGCGACGTTGCCGAAAGAAAACTGTATGTGAGCTTCCCCTCGCTCTGCGAAATCGCAGGCGTTAGCACAAACCTCGGTCGTCTATAACTAGGAAAAGCAGCCTGTCGAAATCTCAACAGATAACTCGTAAAACTCAGCGAGTTACGGACTAAAATACGGGTGGGTGATATATCTTGTCGCGGAGTGTAACGCTTGAACCGGGCGAGTTTCTTATATACTGTGGGGACTTGGTGCAAAAGGATGCAATATGATAGTGGGTAGGTTCCAAACATTGTAGCAGGATGTCCTTCCTTTACAGTGGGGCCTGTAATTGGAGCGGTAACCCGCGTGTTCGTGTCACAATGCTGCCTTTTCCTGCCAGAATAATGCGTGGTCTGAGTCCTCAACCACAAAGAATGCATTTGGCCACCATTCCACGAAAGCTCTGCTGCAGTCACTAAATAGCGACGTCAGAACTACTGAAGTTATTCTCGCTGCTTGCATGGGCATCAAGAAACATTTTGCCGTCCTCGATTCGCTTTAGAAGCTTGTCCACGATTTGGTAGCATCCGTCGGAATATGGCAGATAGCCTCCACCGTCCTGGAGGCCCTCCAGGACGGTGCCCTCGGTGCTTTGACACTCCTCCACCTGCCAACGGTTGGTGTCTCGAGCTTCATTATGTATTGTGCGTGTGGCACATACATTATAATTAATCGAAGTTTTCATGAAATAGATTATGCAATGCGGTAGTCGAAGAGCTTGCCATTCAAATATTTTTGGCAACTACTTCCTCCGTCCGAAAATATAAGCGGGTCCCCAGCATTGGTACCGTCCGGTAATATAAGGGTTAAGTTCGGACATTATCTACTTTATCCTGTTCAATCGAACTTAAAAGTATCGTAGCCTTGTCGTAAATATTGTCGTTGCAGGTCAATGAAGGTGGAAGGAGACCGTTGTTCATGCGCAACTGCTCTTTTGATAGATGCGGAAGCTGATACTTATTACAGCCATCGACGTTCATGGACGCCTGTAGCACAGACTGTAGCGTGACAAACACTTTGTCAATAGTGCTATACTCAAGCTGGCTATAGGCTTCCTCGACGTTGTTGACCAGGTCTTCAATTGTTCTTGCCTTCTTCTTGTGCTGTAGCGATTGGATTGACGTGAAGAACCCGAGGTCGTTGACGTTGAAATCAGGAGAATTGGCTGGAGGTGGTTTAATGCTCATATCCCACCCACCATCACTACAAGCAGCAACCACTTCGGGATCGTCCGCAGCCACGTGTGGCTTAGCATTGTCATGCTGAAGAAACACGCGCTTGCCCGATGGCCAAACCGCTTTGACGCTCGGTATGACCATCCGGCACAATGCCTGGCGGTACACGTCCTTGTCGACATTGTAGGTCTTTAGCTCCAGTGTGCCGGCCGGTCGGTTTTTACTTGATCGTTCGGCCGGCTCGTACACAACGAATGGCCATAGGCCAATCTTGCCGTCCCAAATCCGGTGACGCTTACTGTCCCACCGCGGGCGCGCAACAGCAACTAGGAACATGACCTTGACGATGTAGTTTTTGTTTTTGACAGTAAGATGGGGAGGTTCCTCGTGCGTTCCCAGATAGAATCCCTGGTTCTCCTTCTTCAGATAAAACCATTTTTCATCTAAGTGAACGTAGTTCATGAAGCTGTCGAACACTCGCGTATTGCGTGGACCCCGATGTACAAATCCGTAGGCGAACTTGAGTCGATCAGCCCGATGTTGATCCGACAATAACGGCTTTAGCCGCGTGGTGTGACGTCGAAATGCACCAGCAAGAAAGTAATCGTGAAGACTCGACTTGGCAATACCAAGGGAACTCGCTAAAGTGCGAATGTCAGTTCGTTCCTCAAATGGCGTAAGTTCGATAGCGTGGCTGAGGTCGTGGCGGAACTCCTCCGTTAACCGCGTCTTCCGGCCGCTCTTGCCCTTCCTGCCACTGTCGTAGTTAATGGCATTGCCGCTCTTGATGTCTTGAAGGGCCCGGCGTCACAGACGGGCGATCTGGTCGTCACTGGACTCATATTTAGTCGAGAACGCCGCAATAGCACCTATCGGAGGCTCTAGTTCGATGCTGACTTTCAGTAGGAAGGCAATGACTTCCGCCCGTTCACTCGGAGTTAGATTCTTGCGTTTACGCGTATTCATTGGAGCACTGGTGGTCATGTTGAGGTGCTGGCGAAGGGTTAAAGCTGGAATGGTGTGTACCTGGTGTACTTGGTAGACTGTTACTTTTCATTAAGACCACCAAATATCGCGGGAGGACCGCGGTTCGAACCGTCTTGTTGTGCTCTTCGTTTTTAACCAATACATAGGTCCCAACGCGCGATATTAAGATTAATAATAATTTTTTGGTATGGACCCGCTTATATTTTCGGACGGAGGAAGTATTGTTTTGGCCATGCTATTTTCGGCGGCCCTGCTGCTGGAGGCTACCGATGCCGGATTGAGTTGCGGATGCCAGTAATCCATAACAGAGATGAGGCATCATGAGGGTTCAACTGAGAGGCATATGCGAACGCCGTTTACCGCTGCGGATTGCTAACCTCGCGATTTCAAAAACTTAAACTGGCCGCCGCGCCAAACGTGATATCATCATCACTACTTGTTGTTGCATGTTGCACGAAGATGGGACCGTCGCCGACAGGGTCAGCACTCACGTGGACGATTCAAAAGCGAAGCAGGCAAAAGGGAAAATTTCAATCGGGGCTGGCCCAAATAGCCTTTTCAAGTTTTACTTGTATTTCTTGTTGATAAGCAAACCGACTCCAAGGGCACCAAATTGGTACTACCAATGAAAAGCTGCTGATTTTGTCGATTTGTCTGTCAATTTCTGAAACATCTATAAAACACAATGGATCCGATTAAAAAAGCACACCACGAATGCTTGACCAGTCCGCTTCAACTGGCTTTATTTCACTATGGGGTCCGTCCTTGTCTTATATGGTATCTTATAACTGACCAATCAAAACTATTGAATACAATTTTAGAGTCTTTCATTGGCTGGCAATCCGGCCTCGAATCAAGTAATTAGAGTTATTTATCAAAACATGTACGTAATCAAGGACTCTTAGTATTTGTACAATAATGTTGAATTTTAGGCAATCTGACCATTTAATTACGAAGAGGTGTTTTTTCGAATGGTTATAAATATATTAAATTTACGAATACATTTGGTGAAGAGCAGCAAGAGTATCTTTATATATGAGTTAGGCGAGGAAAATCGGATCCCGAAATAAATTTCAAAGAACAGATTATGAAGGCTTCAATAAGTGAAACGATGTTTGGTGACTGACTTGGGTTATTCTCATCCGACCTCATCTAAGCAAAACCTTGATTTTGGTTGGGAGATTCGTAATTGCCGAAGTCCCAATCGGAAGTGTGCCTTCTAAAGGCAGTTTTATCAACTTCTGGTGGTTGCCATTTCTTTCAGTGTAGTAGTTTGGCAAACTGCTAGTTTGCCACAGATACGAACCTTCAACACAGTTTACTTAGAAACAGATCAAAAAAAGAATGTACGTAACCAAAGCCGACAGCAACGTGTTAACCTCTTCACAGTGGATAGGAACAGAAAGAGAGCAACTAAAAGAAAAGAAAGATGTAGTAAGCTGACTTCTTGTCCACGAATTGGGCCCACTCTAAAGTTATACAGAATTGTAGATTGCCGTCATGCAATAGCACATCGCTGTAAAGATAAATGCTCTGAATATAATTTTGAATTCAACTCACCTGCAATACGTAAGCGCAATCTACCGTAGATTATCTACGTAACACGCCATAGCTCGAAATTTCAAAGCTTCTTCGTGCTCAGCACGGCTTTATACCAGGATGCAGAATTACTTCAAATTGTATTGTTTTCACTAGGGAGTAAGAGCTATGGTCTGGGCTTCTGTTCACCTGGTTACAGGTAGTTTTTAATGGAAGTCAGACATCTACAATAAAACTTTTCCTACCTGATATGACAGGTGGACAACTACTTAATCAGATAGCAATATGTCGTGTTACTAAGTCTCCTTGAATAAACAAGCTATTGCTGCGGTCAAAAGGTCATACAAGGTGCCAATACATATATAACTGAGGTGAGGAAGTACGCCGGCTTAGAGTAGCGGGAACTGAAAATAATCTCCGCCGTACGCGCTAACTTCAGACGGTAGAGGCACAAAAATATACCAAATTGAATTATCCAAACGCATTTAAGTACCGTACCTCATAAATGAATTCCACTTCTTAACCAGAATATTTCGTGAAATTGCTATATTTGTGTTAAGATTTGGTAGCAAAACAAACAAATTTCTCATTACTCAAAAATCAACCGGGACGACATCACGGGAGATGTGAGCGAATACATACTTTCTCAATGCAGTAAATGAACTGATATATTGAGAATGTAAGTTTTCTCTCAGCTTAAATCTTCCACGTGTTGGTTCTGAAGCAGCGCACTATACAGACCGTTGTCCTTAAGTCGGACGATGCGCTCTTGAACGAGTTCTGTGTCTGCTTTACGCGGGCCTTGGCCAAGTATTTTGAGCATGTACTCCACCTTACGACTTTCGTTTTGGTCTCGTTTATAGCCGACACAGGTTTCTCAATCCACTGAATTACTTAAACATGATCTACGTTGGACTTTCCATTAGGAGGGATCGATTGTTTCATTTTTCCAGCTTAGAAATCGTTTCTTTATGCCAATCTAAGAGAACGGTTTGCAATTAAATAACAATTCAGATTTGAGCTTGAGCACGGTTTGTCTGTGTTTGCGCCTCTTGTACTCTCAGCCACATGGGGCAAAACCTTCTCCATGAAGACGAGAGGATTACTTAGCAAATGCTTAGGCGGTTGTAAGTTGCCACTTTCATCTCAACCTAAATATAATATTTCAAAGATGTAAAATTTGCTTTTTTGTGTTAAGGAGAATCTTCCAAACAGAATGAAAACACGCCAAAATCACCGAACTGCTGTTTTTCTGATAAGCATTTATTTGTGAGGTACAGTATGTAAGTCTCTTCTGGCCTCATAATAGGGACTCATACTTTTCGAAATGTGGTACATTTAGCCCCCTCAGCTTCTCCGTAAAGGCACAAATGCAGGCCTCAACTAGTAGACTCCATGTCGAACTGATATTGCAATAAATTATCTCGAATTCATGTTAAACTGTCTCCGACAATCGCAACGTGGTGATTTTGAGAGCAACGGTGATCAGTTATTTAATTCGAACGATAAGATTAGATGTATTGCTGCATTTTCTTGTTAATTACTAATCTTGCTATGTTGGCAGGGATCAAAAATAAAGGCACTGTGCACAGAAAATGGGCTTACTACCTGAATGAGTTTTTCATAGATGCTTGTAGAAAAAATATGGTTTCAAAATGTATGATCTATACTTATCGCTCGCACAAAATCTGCAGCCTATGTATTTGTGGACCATGAGTTCCAAAACTCACGTTGAATGGTTTGGAAACGTATCTACTATTCGCAGCTTTTTCCGAGAGTTCATTCTCCCATTTGCTTCAGCTCGTCATGACCATACATTTAATAATACTCGGACATATGCCGTCGTTCAGAAACTATCAAACCTTTTCTGCCATCTCAACCAGCGTTCCAATTCCACGTACCATATTGAAAGCCGCCTTCAGCGTACTAAAACGCATGAAGAGCAAATTGAGAATTCAGCTCTCCGACTTTGCAGTGCATTTTGAAGAGGGGGAACTTCACGCAGGTCATTACTCACTGAATGACTTAGTTTAACTATGGTCAATGTCACTCCCTTTTTTAAGTTTCAAACGGCCTTCATACAGGCTTCAGGCATATATGTTTGAATTTTTGAACCCTGCTTGTTGGACATGCAATGAACTTTAATAGCCAAAACTGAACTCTAGTCTTTGAACCCCAGACTAAAATTTAGTCCGGACGAGTTTTTAAGTTTGTGTTGCTTATATTCTTTACCTGCTCTACGTCCATCGAGACATTCCAAACCACACATGTTACGGTCGGTGACTATGACACCAGTTTTCACTGGGACTTCGTAGCTCAAGCCTATATAAACGCTCGAATGCGAGTATGCCCTCCAAATTTCGTACTTAATCTCTGGAAACCAACGCAGTGCCAAAATAACATCATGTTTTACAGGATATCAGGTTTCTCAAGGTTCACTTAGGTTTTACCAGTACTGTACCAGCTGCGCCTCGTCTTGTTGACCTCGTGGGTTCGACTTGTAAGTAACAAGGCACTTGCTGCTGCGCCCAACTGGGAATCGTCGACTTTACTATACCCAATACACTTTCTCGTCACCCTCACAATCTAAATCCACAGAGGACGGATGTCATTTTGATCTTTAGGATTTGCTCCGCTGCGCGTCGCAAGTGCAGTCGCTGCGCTCCTGCAATTAAAAGATTCTCTCTGGAGAGTCCAGTGCTCGGCTCGCTGCGGAGCTCGGTGCTGGGCCCTCCCTCTGCAAATATCGCACGGCCCTGCTTCACCGGCACCCCGTAAGGGTTTGCTGCGGCTACGCGCGCTCCCACCAGCTCACCTCCATGGGCTCTCCGTTTGATTTGCACTCTTTCACCCCCTCCATCTCATTTGGGCGCAGCAGTAACTACTAAGTAACAAAGATGAGCACATCCTACGAGTTAAGCTGCACCCTCTGTCAGCAAAAAAAAGTTCTCAGGTCACGAGTTCAACAAGTTGTGGTGGGTCAAGCTAAACAAGTTGTGAAGTTGTGTACACAACGCGGCAAGCAGGATCATATTGAAGATGGGATCGTGTGCTGTTCGAACACATGTGCTGTTCGAGCACAAGCAAGTGGCAAAAGTCTACTGCACCCTTGCTCAAGCTGACGGAAGAGCTCATTCAGCAATTTGCCGAGCCAAGCACACCTCCTCACTCCAGAAGAAGTCCCCAACTTTACCAACCAAGTACCATGAAGCTTTCGTACATCATCGCCTTCGCCGCTGTGGTCGTCGCCTCGACCGCTATCCCCGCCAACGCCGCCACGGGCTTGACGACCAACAACGTGGCTGAGCTGCAGGTCGTTCGCCAGCTTGGCGCCGGCGGTGGCCTCCGTGGCAGCCAGCAGGGTGATCAGAACCAAAACACGCCGAGCACCTCGCAGAACGACGGTAACACCAGCCAAAACGATGGCAAACAGGAGAAGCAGGACGACGGCAAGCAAAAGAGCAAGGACGACGGTAAGAAGAAAGAAGATAAGGAAAAGAAAGAAAAGGAGAAAAAGGAGAAGAAGGAGAAGAAGGAGAAGGAAAAGAAGGAGAAGGAGGAAAAAAAGAAGCAGAAGGAGGCCGAGAAGGCCAAGAAGGGCGGTGACAAGTCCAAGAAGGATGACGACAAGTCCAAGAAGGATGACGACAAGTCCAAGAAGGACGGTGACAAGTCCAAGAAGGACGGTGACAAGT